AATGCTTTTCTAAATCGGATACTTATTTTTGTCAGAATAAAAAATATTCTAGATGTTGTGATTTTCCATAAACAGCATAACAAAGAGCCATTAACACGCACACACAAAAAAGGAACAGATTACAGAAACAGAGTTATGAAATGCAGTCACTGGGAACAATAAGGTAACACTACAACAGTTTTGGATGAATATTTTGGATCTCAGCTGCGGAGGTAGGAGTGATCAGTCTATAACCCACTATGTTAGTGGTTCCTATCCGCCAAGATATTTAAGAGGACGGTGGTTCATGTGCAGTTCTACAATCGTATGCTCTATTTAGAGGGAGGGCGTTTGTAAGAACTGTGTAACATCATACACCATAATTGTAAATACAAAATTAAATGATGCACTTCTCTACTGGTACATTTAAGTCATGCACTCAGTCAAGTGCTTCTCTGAGAACATTGTTTTACTCAATAACTGAACGGTTTTGGAAGAAATAGTGGATACACCTGTAGGCCTAGTGCATGCAGGAGCGTAAAAGTGAATGAAGACTGTACAATCTATCAGGCAAGGTTTGAGCAATAGATCATCAATGCAGGCAAGTTCTATGTGGCACAACCAATATGGTAGGTTACTTGAAGCAGATCAGATCAGTAGTTCTTTTAATTCAGATAATCATAACTGTATAATGTGTAACAGATGGGATCTGTAATTCTAGCAATCTGTAACACAACTGTATCCCATGTGAATCCAGATAAATACAATTGGATCGTATTTCACAGATGGGATCCGTATACACAATTGTATTGCATGTAACAGATGAGATCAGTAGTTCTATCAATCTGGATAAACACAATTGTATCGTATGAAACAGATTGGATCAGTAGTTCTCAGTGGCGGACCTAATAACCAAAGGGCCCTGGTGCAAGATTTTATCTTGGGCCCCCCTCCCAAGACGGGTGGTGGGGGGGCACGGGAGCGGATCACACTGTCCCCGCCCCCCCAGCGGTCTCTAATGTTGCAGTAGCGTGCTGGACTTACCTGAGACCCTGCAGAGCACACCTGAGACTCTCTATGGTGAGCTCTGCAGGGTCCCAGGTGGTCTGGTCTGGTCGTCAGGATCCCTTTCCCTGTACCTCCTCCCAACTCTTCTTACCTGCTGCTGCTGGGGCCCGGCCTCCTACACCCCCTCCCCTGTCACCTCTGCCATGCCGCCTCGGTACAGTTGATACCCATGTAAGCCCCAGACCCCTCACATGGGTACCGGTCATACCCCCCTGATGGCGGTGTTCTATCAAAGGTTGTGACTACGTTAGAATGTTTGACCGGTGACATGGTCACACATTTTAACGTAATCCCGCCCAGTTTTTCGATGATGGAATGTGTGACCGCCAAGAGGTGAAGCATTCCAGCGCTTTCCCAGCTGTTCCAGGGAAGATCGGCATCGCAAATCGCATGTGCAGGAGAACCGATCTGCCCTAAAACAGCTGATCGATCCTGAAATGTCACTTCTCCGACTGCGATTGATGAGAGCACTGCAGGGGGTGGGGCTTGTGACACACACACGCCTCCTGTGACTCCCTATCGGCACTGGTACTCGAAAAGTATCTGTGCATCCCTAAGGATAATATTTATACACAAATGTGTCTAATGTGTTTTATCCAGAGCAGTATAATGTCGTTTCTCACAGTACAATGAATGCATTACATCCTAAACAGTCATAGAAATAGCAGCCTTATAAGGTGTTTTTGGGGTAAGATCTGGTGTGTCTAGCCATGGTTGCCATTACGTAAAGGGCTGGTTCACACCACACGGCAATGGATAGCACATAACGTGTATGCTGTGTGAAGCAGACATGTAAATTTATTTCATTCCGAATGTATATTCGTACGAATTTCGGTAAATACCAACATTCGGATGGATCTGATTTTCAGAATTCTAACGCATCCGAATGTGAACGAATCCAAGTGTTCCTTTAAAGAAAAAACGGATCTGTCCGAATTTCATTCAAAACGAAAATAAATCAGACATGTGACTGTTTTCTGGCCAATTCGATGTTTCTTTTGGCTGGTGGGGGTTGCATTACAGGCACGGTCATGTGACTTCCTGTTGTGGATCTTTCTGAAACGAAAAAACATGAGTTGATTACCTGATAACTCTGTTTCCAGGAATCTTCCAGGACAGCCCATGAGATAAGGCTCCGCCTGCCTGCAACAGGAAACACATCAACCACATTTAAATAAATAGACCCCTCCTTCCATCCCAATTCAGTACCCTCTAGAACCGAAGGCTACCAAACATTCCAAAGTATCCCCTCTAACATCAATACCGATGTCCCCTGGCTACCAACCAAGGGCGGGAATCTGCTGTCCTGGAAGATTCCTGGAAACAGAGTTATCAGGTAATCAACTCATGTTTTCCCCAGTCATCATCCAGGACAGCCCATGAGAGGATCAGTGAGGACAAATCTTACCTCCTAGGGTGGGACCACAGCTTGCAGGACCTTCCTGCCAAATGCCTGGTCTTGTTGGGTCATAAGATCCAGTCTGTAATGCCTAACGAAGGTCTGGAAACTGGACCACGTGGCTGCTCTACAGATCTGGTCGGGAGTAGCCCCTGCTCGCTCTGCCCATGAAGTGGCCCATGCTCTAGTGGAGTGTGCCGTGAGCGACCCTGGCAACGCCAAACCCTGAGCGTTGTAAATCGCTGTTATGGCCATTTTAATCCACCTAGCAATAGTGCTTTTAGTGGCCCTGTTCCCTCTAGTGGGACCCCCAAATAGTACGAAGAGACGAGTCGACCGTCTCCAAGGTTTCGTGACCCTAAGGTACTCCAGGACGCACCTGCGTACGTCAATGCCCTGCCATTCCCGTTCCCCAGCAGAGGTGGGGTTAGTTGCGAACGAAGGAATGACTACCTCCTGAGTCCTGTGGAAGGTGGACACCACTTCTTGACTCTGCCTGTGTGCTCCCAGGTATCCTGCCAAATGTGCTCCAGGCAATGGGCTCCCCAGCTCCAGGCACTGGCGTCCGTCGTCACCACCAATGGCACAGGCTGGCACCACAGCCTGCCCCCTGAGAGGTTTCGACCGTCCACCCACCACAGGAGGGATTGCTTGGTCTCCTCAGTGATGTGGACCAATTTGTCTAGGTCTTGTTGTCGACTTCCCCAGGCCCTCAAGAGCCAATTTTGCAAAGCCCTGGAATGGAACTGCGCCCAGGTAACCGCTGGGATAGCGGACGTCATAAGCCCCACCACTCTCATTACTGACCTGACTGATACTGCACCCTACAGTCTCAGCCTCAGTGTTTCCTCTACCAGCAGTTACACCTTGTCCCCTGGTAGAGTAATGGTCATGTCTTGGGTATTGATCCAATACCCCAAGAATTTTACCGTCTGTGCGAGGACTAGTTGTGATTTTTCTCTGTTCACTAACCAACCCAGACTCTCCAAGTGTTGGATCGTTAACTCCAGCTTTTGCTGGAGAACAATTGCTGATGGGGCAAAAAACAAGAGGTCGTCCAAATAAGGGATGACCCCTACCCCCCGAGACCTCAGGGGGGCCAGCGTCTCTGCCAACACTTTGGTAAAGATTCGTGGCGAAGAGGAAAGGCCGAACAGCAGAGCCCTGTATTGAAAATGCAGGACCCGTGCAGGCCCCCGGACTGCAAACCTTAGGAGGTATTGCGATGACTCTCTTACCGCAATATGAAAATACGCGTCTCTTAAATCGATAGTTGCTAGAAAAGAGCCTGGGGGCAGCAACTCTCGGATTGAAAAGATCGATTCCATACGGAATCTTTTGTACAGTACCACCCCGTTCAGAGGCTGCAGATTGAGTATCAGCCTGCATTTCCCTGAGGGCTTCATCCTGGAGAAGATGTGGGAGTAAAATCCTTTTTTCTTCTCCCACTTGGGTACCCGTACTATCACCCCCTGGTCCAGCAGGTCTTGCAAAGCCGCTGTCATTGCCTCTGCTTTCTTCCGGTCTTTGGACAGGGAAGTAATCAAAAGCCTTGACGGGGGTGCTTCCGTCAGCTCTATGTTGTAACCGAGCCGAACCAGTTCCAAAATGTATTTGTTGCTGGTCAGTTGCCTCCAGAGTGGAAAGAACTCCCCCAGTTTTCCCCCCACCCTGAGCAATCGGTCATTGGGATTTGTTGGGCTGCTGAGGTGGGTTAAAGAGGAAATTACTCTTTGACTTCCCCTTTTTAAAGGCCCACCCTTTCGACTGGTCTTGCTTCTTCCCATAAAGTCCCCTCTTCTCTTTACGGAAGTTTTGACCCCTTTGACCGCGAAAAAACTGTTTCCCCTTCTGCTTGGGTGGCAGGGGGAAACCTTTCTTCTTGTCCGCGGATCTATCCAACACTGCCTCCAACTCCTGGCCAAACAGCAAGTCCCCTTTAAACGGGAGCCCGCATAACTTTGCCTTAGAGGATGCATCTCCTGCCCAAGTTTTGAGCCACAAAGCTCTCCTAGAGGAGTTGATCAATGCCGTAGTTCGAGCTGAGTACCTCACTGCCTCAGCCGAGGCGTCCGCTATGTAGGCGGCTGCCTTGCCCAGCACGGGGAGGGAACCCAGCAACTGATCTCGATCAGTACCCGACTCCAGGTGTTCCTGTAGCTGATTCAGCCACACCCCTAGCGTCCTAGCCACACAAGTAATGGCCAAACCAGGTTTGAAGCCAGCACTTGCCGATTCCCATCCCTTTCTGAGCAAAGCCTCCGCCTTTCTGTCCATTGGGTCCTTCAATGCTCCCATATC